GAGAGCCTGAGGAGCCAGGAGATGCCCTGGCTGGGCATCGTGCTGCTGTGGGACGAGCTGACCCCTCTGCACAGTCTGTGCCGTCCCTGCCAGCCAAGTTCTGCCCAGGCTCTGTGCACGGGGACGGAGCGCTGACAGTTTTCAGCCCCCGCGCTGTCCCACAAAGGCTGGGATGGCACAAGGCCCTTGCCTGGCACCCAGGAGATGGGCAAGGCAAGGCAGGGACGGAGCCTCTGAGCCACCAGGACACTGTCCCAAAGGCTGGGATGGCACAGAAGCCCAAAATCCATGAGGTTGGCAGAGACTTCGGAGATCAACCAGCCTCCAGCCTTCAACCCATCCCCAGTACGTCAAGCACACCACGGCACTCAGTTTGCCATGTCCAGTCTGTCCTTAAACACCTCCAGGGACGGTGACTCCACCACCTCCCTGGCCAGCCCATGTCAGTACCTTATCTATACCCACTATTTCTGATCCAGGCCAGGATGCCGTTGGCCTTCTTGCCCACCTGGGCACACTCTGGCTCAGGGTCAGCCTCGACCAGCACCCCCAGGGCCTTTCCCACAGGCACCCTTTGTAGCTACTCTGATCCCAGCCTGGAGCTGCAGGGGGTTATTGTCGCCAGAGGCACCAAAGGCACTCTTGAACCTCATGCCCATGGTCTCCACCCAGAGATCCAGCCTGTCCAGGTCCCTCTGCACAGTCTTCCTACCCTCCAGCACATCAACACTGCAACCCAGCTTGAGGTCATCTGCCAATTTGCTCATGGAAGACTCAATCCCCATGAAAAATATGAAACAGGACAGGGCCCGTTACCCAACAAGTTCTATTTCTTGGTGAAGGAGCCCCTGCAGCAGTGGGAAGATACTGACACAGAAACCAGAGATGAAGACAAAACTAACACAGACAATTACTGAGACTCTCCCTATCTAGGGAAAAGATAAGAAAAGGACAGAAATTGTGGACTAAGGATCGTGCAAAGTGAGAAATTGATAGCCAATAGAAGAGAGAATAAGAATTAATGCAGAGAACTACAGAACTTGTAAGCCAATGGACATGAATTCCTTTGTTTGCTAAAATATATAAATAGTTCAAAGTTTTGAGAACCAATGTCCATGTGTTAGAGAGCAATCCCCAAGGCCCTTCAACTCTTGAACCTAACCAGCTGAGCAGAGATTTTATTCCCTGGCTTTCTCTGACAGTTTCTGGGGACCCAGATGAGACAAAGCAGTGCCAGCACAGCAGAACAGAGGTATTGTTGGCCCTGCAGTGGGTACCAAAGGAGTTTTGGGGAGATCTTCCAATTCCCTGCTCTGGAGAGTTCACCACGTCTTCTTTTCTGGGAAAAAGAGCAAGAAATTATTTTGGGTGCTTGATTTTAAGGTATTTTTCCTGTAAGGGAGGCACACCAATTGGAAGGACGCAGTGGGAGGCTGAGAGGTTTCTGTCATGGTTTGTGGGTTTGGGTAAGATTGGGAGATAATTACGGAATGCCCATGAAATCTCATCTTTGGGAAAGGTTGGGGAAGGTGTTAACAGGGTGGTTTTGCCTGAGGTGTTAAACATGGGAGTGGGTCTATCTTCAGAATTCCCAAGAGAAGAGATGGCAGAAAGCTGCCCTGCAGGTTGTATTTGAAGGAACAGGAAAAGGGATCGAGGGTCGAAATTGCTAGTTTGACTCCAAAATTTGAATCTGGACAAAGATTCCTGCCAGACAAAAGGTGCCAGGAGAGAAAGTTCTTGCTGCCCATGGACTGACCAGGGTGTCCCACCAGCTGCACCTGAGAGACTGAGACTAAGTCTTTCTTTCCTGAGGGAAATGACTGCTATTCTCTTGTAAGAACCCTTCACTGAAATTGCCAGTCCGACTGCTAATATTGAATAGGAACCAAGATTCCTCCCAGACAAAAGGGGCCATGACAAAAAGCTCTTGCTGTGCATGAAGTGCCCAGGGTGTCCCACACACTGTACATGAAACTCAAAAGTTACAGGCGTTCGTTCCCTTTGGAAAGGGCTGATTTTCTCTTGCAGAAGCCCTGTGCTAAAACTGCCAATTCGACTCCCAGAATTGCATATGGATGAAAATTCCTGCCAGACAAAAGGTGGGAGGGGCCATTCTGGAATGGAGAGGACAGGCTGTGACATCACAAAGGGGCCCATGGCACACAGGTGGGGCTTCACTTTGGGGTTGTCGGGTGTTGGTTCTTTGGTTGCCAAGGGCTATTCTGGAATGGAGAGGATAGGGTGTGACATCACGAAAGGTCCTCAAGCACATGGGTTGGTGTGATGGGTTGACCCTGGTGGGATCTTAAACACTCACTAAAAGCCACTACCTCCCCCTCCCTCTGCAACTCCACAGAGGAGACAAAAAAAAACCCAAAAAAAACCTAAGGAATCCTGAGTAGAGATAAGGGTCGGGAGAAAGTCACTTACTAACAGGCAAAACAGCCTCAAAGGAGGGATAGTACTTAAATTTATTCCTAATAAAATAAAAGTCAAAGAGTGAGAAATAAAACATCCTTAAAATCACCTTCCTCCCACTTCTCCTTCCTTCTAAGCACTCCCTCCTCCTCCCCAGCACTGCAGGGGGATGGGAAAGGGGGTTGCAGTCAGGTGTTGTTTGAGTCCATCCCTCGGGCAGCAGCTCTTCCCATTCTGCTGTCCTGTGGGTTACTCTTTCATGGGCTGCAGGGGGGTCTCTGCACCCCGATGCTCCTCCATGGTCTGCAGGGGGACACCTGCGTTACTTTGGTCTCACCACGGGCTACAGGGGGGCCACAGCTCTGAGTCTTTCCCCTGTTCCTGTGGGGTCCCTTCCAGGGGGGACAGTCCTGGATGGACCTCCCAACGTGAGTCCATTCCTCAGGCAGCAGCTCTTCCCACCCTGCTGTCCTGTGGGTCCCTCCTCCATGGGGTCAGTCCTTCAGGGATGAGCTGTACCGGCGTGGGTTCCCCACAGGGCCATGAGTCCTACCTGGGAAAAACCTGCTCCAGCCTGGGCTTCCCTCTCCATGGGCCACAGGTCTCCTGCAGGACCTGCTCCATCCTGGGCCTGCCACGGGGTCACAGACTCCTTCCTGCATCCCCCTGCTCCAGCGTGGGCTCCTCCACGGGCTGCAGGGGGGTCTCTGCACTCTGATGCTCCCCCAGGGGCTGCAGGGGCCTCAGCTCTGAGTCCTTCCCCTGCTCCTGGGGGGTCCCTCCTGCCCCTCCTTCTGCACTAACCTTGGTGTCTGTGTTGGTATCCCATGTTCTCACTCTGCTCTTCCCAGCCTGGAATTTTTTCTGTGCAACTCTCCTCTCTTCTGAAATATGTTATCCCAGAGGTGTTCCTGTCACTCCTAAGTGGCTCAGCCTTGACCAGTGGCAGGAACTCCGTCCTGGAGCAGCTGGCATTGGCTCCATGGGACAGGGGAAGCTTCTGGCAGATTCTAACAGAAGCCACCCCTGTAGTCCCCCTGCTACCAAAACACAGCCACAGCAACCCACTGTCTTGTGCAGCTCTTTCTCCAAGCCAAGCAGGTGGGAGTTGGTGCCAAGTAGCTGAAACCTGCATGTTCATCCTTTAGTAGAGGAAGCTCAGATTTGCCCAAGGCTGCTTTGAGTCCCAGGGGCTGGATGAGGGAATGGTGGGGTGGGGATAGGGATAAAGTCTGATGGATTGTCAGACATAAAAGGTCTTGATTTTCTTATCTATTCAGACTGAATTAGGAAGTCCTTGGGATCAATATCGACTGGGGATTGCTGATATTAACCTAAAACCAGAAAAAAAAGTAAACAGGCCATAAAAAAGACATCTTTATTCATCGTTTTAATAATACAATATATTCACTTGGATTGCACTTCTGAGATCTGCAAAATTAACCACAAAGGAATTGAAGACTTAGAAGTAACTTATTCCCAGGGGTTTGTCTGGTTAAGATGCCATCACTGAGAAGAGAGTGTGGAGGAATGAGCAGACAAGGGGACCATCTCTGGGGCTGGGGAAGCAGGAACTCAGAGTCACTGGTTCCAGGTGGCAAATGGACTGTGGGATGTGGCTGTGAAAGCCCTTCATGGGCTCTGCCAAGTAGAACAGCCAAGCCCTTACCCCCATCCTCTGGAATTGGGTTCTGGTGCCTCACAGGATGCTGGTGGCTCTCAGGGGATGAGTGTGATGTGGGGGGTGGAATGGGGAGTGCAGGAGAGCAGTAGGACAGCTCACAGCTCTGTGGGGTGGGGGAGGAGGCAACGAGCCCTGGGGCTGGAAGGAACTGGTGTCTTCTCCTGGCTGTCAAGAACAAGCTCAGCAAAGTGCCCTGTTGAAGGCAAAGCCAGTGAGCTCAAGTGTGTGAGGGCAGGAGGGGGCACAGCAGTGTCCCTTCCACAGCCAGGCCTGCAGGGACAGAGCAGAAGCAGCAGCAGAGCAGGGTCTGGGCTGTGTCTGTGCTGGACACCCTGGGCAAGGGGCCCAGGGCAATTGTCACACATCAGCCCCTGGAGCCACCATGCCCAGCACTGGCCTCTCCCCCACCACCAAGAGGTTGTTTGTCCTTCTCTGAAGACACCAAATGAGCAGGTCACAAGGCCACACTGGCATTGGACAGAGGAGACTTCAGCATGCACAGGGGTGTGTGGGGAGATGAACCAAGAGAGCACAAACACCACCAACTAACCCTGGAGGTGCTGGGAGGGGCTGTGGGACACACAGGGTGGGGAGGTCACTTCACTCTGGCGGTAACATCCCCTGGGAAACCCTGGGGCTGCAGCCCTGGGATGTGCTGCTGTGCACAGAGCTGCCCGTGCCCATCCCTCAGGCCGTGGGACAGCTCAGACAGGGCAGAGCAGGGGACACCCTGCAGGGCTGAGGGGCCTCCAGCCCCTGGCAGTGGCAGCAGGAGCCCAGGGACAGACTGTGACTCCTGCAAGGATCTCC